CAGGATCAGCTGGCCGGCTGACGGCATTTCTCGAACATGCCCGTCGTACCTCATCGACCGGTTTCCGACCAGTCACAATGATGAACTTTCCTGGTGTTCTGCACACATATACACACAGGTACCTGTCTCTGTGGTTATTTTTCATTAGCGAAATTATTTCATTTAAACTGCAGATTCACGAAATTCTCAATTACGAATTTAAAAAATTGATAGACCCGTCTATCGAAACAACATAGATCGACGATAGAATTTCAAGTTTAGAAACGAAGATCAAGTTTGTTAATGGATCGTTGACGAAATATTTTGTTGCACTGGAAGATTTTTGACCTCAGTAGAGGGAACCCAGCAACCGGGAGAATCTCTCTGCTTATCCAGAAAATGTCGTCGGTTCAGTGTTACCTTTCTCGAGCAGTGGTCACCTGAACAGCGGGGATCACCTGCCTTATACCAGTGGATATAGCAAGAACACGTAGAATGCAGGCAACTCTTGGCCGACCTTGGCTAGGTCGAGCGTGCGGCCTCGAGTATGCGACACTGATTGAGCCGCATCTGCGGTATAGGCTTTCTCGGTTTTTCTTCAAAGCCATTAAGCCGTGATAAAGAACAAGCGATTACGTACTATCGGTAGCCTCATCGATTTTTCGATTCGAGCCTATCTCTCAAGAGATTCGAGTCTGCGCCATAGAACGACGTGTATGTATTTATTTTCTTGTGTAAAGAATTTTCAAGTTTTTTCAATATTCCTGAGTTACTTAATCGCGCAATACCAAAGAAACAATTGACCGAAATTCGAATATCCAAAAGGAGAGATGAAAAGTACACGATGGTTGAGAGCCATAATTGAACGATTTAATTAAATACTGTCTAGCGGCACGGTCTCAACCGTGGGACGTTTTCAATAAAGGGAACAATTTCACGGGCACGAAAATCAAACGCGGTTATATTCACCGGACCGAATCGTTCGCAGAATCCGTTTTCCTGGCGGATTAATCTGGTCTTCGGGCACGATCCATTTGAGAGTATCCCCGTCGCGTAAGTAGGACGCGGCTTAAACCCTTCTTTCCGTTCTCTCCGTCCGGCCCATTGTCGCAGAGCTAAGCACAGATTTATTATCGCGTTGAGACACACCCTCTCCCTTTTCTCTTCGTCTACACCCCCGTTCGTCCTCCGTCGACCACCCCGTCCTCCTGCCCCCTCGCCCTCCCACATCCCCGTTCTTCGGTCCTTCGTCGTAACCGGTCTTAGTCTCGTAAGAGAAATACATTCATCGAGTATTCTATTAAGAATCTGCACTCCGCGGATAAACGAGCGAAATAAGGTTCTTCCCTGGCAAACCCCTCGTTCTTGTTCCATTAGTCGAACGATTCCGACCCCCTCGAGTTCTAGCTTTCTCCCTGGGCGACGTCTTACCACTTCGGATCACCTGGTCTTTGCGCAGATTACGCGGGATTCAATACCCGAGGCTAGTCATATTTTAACTAGAAAATTCTTCTCCCTTCGTACAGAAATGTACGTGCGCCACACTGCGTACGCGTTCAACTTTGTTGGTCGATCGATTAGTTGAGATGCGTATCAGAGCGAAATTAGGAAAGAAACAGAGTACGAATTTTTTCTATATATATATATATATATATGTAATTCCACAGAAAGAATTGCCGCGAATCTGAGATATCGCGGACAAACACGGTCCGTTTACGAACCGATTAATAAATTACCCCATCGCCGTGTGCACTTGCCTGCTGAAAGATATCGGAATAAGCAGTTCGAAGAGCGGTCGTTGCATTCTAAGGATAATGACGCGACGTGTAGCACGCGCACGGTCAGACAGACAGGAGCCATACAGTGAGGAAAGCCAGCTCCCCTTCCTCGTTTAAACGCGCGCGCAAGATGCAGCTGTCCGCCCGTGAGGCTCGAAAAAACAATAATTAGCTTATTTCAATAATTGACAAGCTGGTGTTAGCTAGTCGTAACGCATCTGGCGCTCCGCAGGCTCTCGTCGAGTAGCTTGGCCACGAGAATCGAGGTATAACCGTGTTCGTTATGCTCTTTACGCGACCATAAAACCGACGCGTTCGTTTCTAGCCCGAACTTCACCTCGAAACGGACGTTCGACGCTCGTGCTGCTTGCACGTGTTCAACGAGAATTCACGCGATTCCAGGGACGTCCTTGCTCGTGAGCTCGTGCACAATTATCGCCGTTTACGCGAGTTCGAAATGCGCAAGGCTGTAAACGCCGACGGACGAAGGATCGAAGAAACGCGCGCGACTAACGTTTCGTCATTATGGAGAGAGAGAGAGAGAGAGTGTCTGGAAGTTCAATTTTTCTGACTTGGCGCACCTCTATGCCTCCAACCGCCCAGCTATGAGAGCTCCGCAGCTCCAGGTGTAATGCAACGCGTAAATTGCCACGCGGGCCCGCAGAGATGCCTGAAATTGAATATTATCCGCTTCGAATGAGCGCACGCGAGCCGTACGAGCGTCGCTGGAACGTTGAACAGAGAGACGCGTCGCAGTGACATCGAGAGCTGGTCCTATGCATGGGAATAAGGAAGCGTGCGAACAGCGCCGGCATTTTCAACGGGGAAAACCTTCTGTCCCGGCCGTTAGGAGGGTGTTAAAAGAAGAATTCGCAATAAAAGTGACGCGACGCGGTAACGTTGTAGTCGAAGAACATTTAGGACGAGGGAAGAGAGGATGTGAAATTTCGCTCGTCCGGGAAAGTGCTCGTCCTCTGACGAGCGACGCGTCGGGAATTTGATAATCCTCGGATGGGAAGAGAGTTTCTTATACGTTTTCACAGAGCATCGGCGGATTGACGTCGCGTTAAAATTTTTCCTCGTTTATTCGTTATATTTCGCTGGTGCGGCAGCTGTTCGTGTGTGCTTCCTAAAATTCATTAGTAAATCGTTGCTCGTTCGAGCAACATTCAATAATTCTGCTGTTAAAACGCGATATCTGCTTCGACCGATCGATGGCCTCGCACAAACGAGGGTGAGACGGGGAGGAGGGTTGCGGTGCGTTTCTCCAACGCGAGGAATCGCTCGGAAACGCGAGATATATTGACCGGACTGTTGTATCACGGAATCCGTGCATTAATAACCCAGCCGGTCTTTAACCCGTAAACTTTGAAACTCGGACGGGGTGCGATTAAGAGGCTTCTAGAGCCGTTTCGTGCTGCCCACCCACGCCTCTGACCGAGCAAACTGGTCCGCGGAACCACGACCGAGAGGGTGGGCAGTTATAGATACCTTGGATCGAAGAGTTCGCGTGAGACGTCGGCAGAACGATCGTTTTGACGATTGCGATTTCACCGATGCCGCACGCGGACCGTGCGAGCCATCCAGTCAACGAGACAATTAGAGTGCTTTATAATATCGGTCCTGATACCCGAGACTCTAATTGCGCCCGTTAATTGCGCGATTGCGATTCTGATTTGAAGTGGGAGGCATGAATTTAAGACCGTCCGCGGTCGATCATGGGAACGTGTTGCAAAGCCGATATGTCGTGCGCGTGTCGGTGCAACCGTGTTTGTATTGTACGTACATACGTGTATAGATATAGAGATTGAGTTGTTCGCATGGGTTAAGGGAGTGTTGGCGAGAGATACGGATGATTAAATAAAACTTGATATTGCGGTGCATCGCGTTTAATGATCGTTGATGAAGAGTTGAAACGGAACACGGTCGGACATACACTCGGGTTTTAATGATTTTCCAAGTGTTGTTGTTGCACGACGCGTTAATTTCCACGGGTAAGGAAAGAAATTGAGTCATTCGATGTCTCGCGTGGAAGCCCGTCAGGTAATAGCCCGGATAATTTAGAAATTATGAACAGAGCTCGTTTTCGTCGGACCAGATGTTTCAAAGTAATTTTAAATTAAGTTCGATCATTATTCTCGAAAATCATAATTTTTAGTAGGGAACACGAACCTTTTTCCTTCCCTCGCGGCGTGGTCTGCAGTTACTCGTACGACTTTCACGTAGACACGAGGATTAACTTTGTATAAGGGAGGCCGATATTGAATGCATTCTGACACGCCACCGTCTCACATTATATTCTTTGCCTGATAATTACAACGATAATGAGGCTTTACGATAGAAACCTGGCCAGCGGCGTGTTCCGAACACACACGGTGGTGTTCGGTACTTTTCATTCTTCAATCTCTTTCTCTTTCTCTTTCTCTCTCTCTCTCTCTCTCTCTCGCTTACTCAGTCTCTCTCGTCCTGACTCGGCCCCGATGCTTTTGTCGGAATTCGCGGGAATTTTGCTTGTTGGTAACTTTTTCATTCAGCACGCAAATCTCGCGCCGTCTGCCGCACCGGAATATTATTACTCCATTGTGTTTCACGGCGCACATTGTATTTAATCACAACGCACGTTTCGGCGGGGGAGGGAAGGGGGGGGGAGAAACTTTCGGAAAACGATGCGTTATTATTATTACGATCCCGTAACAACGGGTCATCGTCGAATTTCTGAACGATTTTCAGAGATATCGCGGTTATAATCAGACCGTGAAACAGAGGGCTCGAAACCTTAACCAATAGATCTTCTATCCTTCTCGAAAAAAAGTTAGCACTTTACCGACCGGTAATTGGCTGCTATTTACCGCTACCGGTCGGTAAAGTGTTAAGAACGTACGAAGTGATTTTCAAAGAACTCCTCAATTTTTATGTTGTTGGCAATTGTATAAAATATAGCGAAAGTAACAGAGTTGTAAAATACAAAAAAATTTGTTCGATCAATCTTAATATTGCAACGTAAGTAGTAGTATGCAGGTGAATGCCGCGTCCTGCCATTATCGACATATTTGATTATCGAAAATTGATCGTATCGAACGTCGAATGAGAAAGGAATACGTCGTTATGATGTATGCGAAAGGAACATGGCGGATACGTTTACACTCGACAATTAATTTTAAAGTAAAACTAGGCTATCTATTTCTAGGATTATCAAACAAGAGTAGAAATTGCTGATATTTAACGCATACTTAATGTACTCACAAACTGTTGCAACACGATCGTACTGCACACGATGGAGACACTTGTGTATGTTCAAATATCCAACCTCCAAACGCCGTCTAAGAATTCGTTGATTTATTGGCCGAAAGAAGCACGAACATTCCAAAGTTTATTATTTAAATGAGAAAGTTAAGCACTGATTAGCGAAAAACAACGAATATTGCGAATATTTAAAAGAAACAAAGAACGAAACGAACATTTTGCACAGTTTAGTAATCACTAACACTTCGCGTCGAGATCGCGTACTACGTATGAACATTTCGATTCTCGAACGCGCGATGTACCGTCGATATCGATCGTGGCGTCGCCTTGCGTCAATTCGTCAATCGTCCGGGAGGGGGGGGAGGGGAGGCGGATTAGTCGCGCTGCGAAATTGTCAACAACACGCTCGCCCAAGGAAAAACAAAAAAAGACGAACGTAGTTTATCGAACCGGTAAAAGGCAGATATATGCAGTTCGACGACAACAAGCGCGGTGTGAGGAACAGTGTTGAACTTCTTGAAATTGGAATGCAAACAAACCTATTATCGCAAAGTCAAAGGGGAAGACAACCGTTTATTTAAAATCTACCCGCATGCATGGCGTTGTCCTCGTTTCTGACACGGACAAACAGACAGTCAACGCCTCGTTTTAACGCACGAAAGTATGAAAAGTAATTAAAAACGTGTTTCGTTGCTCTGCGGACATCACTCTTTCGACGAAAACGCGAGTGCTCCCCTTCGTTCGAAGAATCGCAGATCGTCCTTCGGCGTTACCTCGGCATTGGCTACGTCTGGATGTAATATTCGACTGGTGAAATGTTTCTCCTCACTTGGGAGTGAACATGTGCTTCGCAATGGTGAGTAAAGTAGAAATTATTCTTCAACTGTTGATAGATAGTACGTAGTGGCTTTCTTAGTGGGTAATGAAGGAAGTTAATTGAGAGTGTTACATAACCTAGAAGGTTAGAATTACTCTGTGACGTCAAAGTTGTTTATCGAAACGTAATTTTCAAGTAAAGTTTTTGTCGTTCGAAGGCACGACGTTTGAAATTGAATAATCTACATACTTTACTAAAAGGTAATACACAAAAACTGAAACTTTTATATGGCGTGAATTTTGGAGTAACAACCTGATTAATCTAATGTATCGACATCGAGATCGATATTTCCGTCAAAAGGATATTTGAGAAACTGTAATATCTCTAACTGAATGTAGGCTTATCTTTATTAATTTATTTTAATTTATTTTAAATTAATTTATTTCAATCTGTTAATTAAGATTTATATTAGACACAATTTTATGTATCTTGTCCTCAAACTTGTTACTTTCGTAACAAGAGAATTTATTAACAGTATAATAATTTATAACCTATGATTTGCAGCTGTTAACTCTTAATTTTTCAGTTCAATGAAATTCTCTTATGAAAAAGTTTTAAGAGTTTATCCAGCTATTTTTTAAATTCGACTTCGGGATTGTTACGGAGGGAATCGTTTGTACAATATAGGCTATTTTACCGCGTTGAAAAGTCGACAAACCGCACGCTAGCAGCGGCGTACGATCGGTGACAGTATTTCGTGCGTGGTGAAAAAGTTGGAAACGTCCGTGTCAGTTCTTCGTATCGTTGGAACAAAGTTTTGTCGAGGGATTCTCCGGTGACGGAAAAGCAGAAAATTGTTGGTCGTTTCCCGCTCGGACGAAGATTTTGAAAATCGTTGAACTGGCTGCATCCGTGCTTGAGGATACACGCTTTCTCTCACCGATTAATTATCGGTTCCGCGAGGAAACCCATGGAAAACGCGCCTCGAGAACTCGCATAGATTTTCGGAACGCGAATCTTCGAAAGCTCTTCCCCCCCGTATTAACCGCGTTAATTCGTAGCATTCAATAGTAGATTTACCGAGCGAACACATGTGAAATGTAGTATCAGGTGAAAGGTAGGAAAGCCGCGTGTTTTCGCCTGTGACTGTGGGAAAATTACTCTACACATTCTATTATCTCTAATAGCGATGTTCTCGATCTGCGTCCATTGTGGATGCTATTCGACTGGATTTCGTTGCATCAGAGCTGCGGTTTTCCTGCCACGACGTTCCACGAAACGGGTATGGAATCTTTGTTCGCGGGAGTAATGAATCCAGCTCATTATCTTTTTTAATTGGCATCATTTAATGATTCCGACGGCATCGTTTAGAAATCGACTTCCTGTTTCTTAATGTAACACCGAGTGCCTTCACAATTTCGTCCTGATTTGTTGGAAACCGCGACAAAACTGTTTTATTCGAGCTCGACTACGTCCACCTGGTTGACAATTGCTTCAATATTACTACAGCAGATTTCTCGTAACATTACCTTCAACACGCAACAACAATTCGGGTTTAAAATTTTTAAATTCTCTATTGAATATTTAACAATTTTTTCGATGCCGTTTGATCGCGAAATTAAGGTCGATCCGACTCATTAGCGCAACAATTTGCAACATAATATATCGAGAGCATACGGGTATAATTTAGCCTTCAGAGGCTACATGAAAAACACGAAAGGTCCGTGAATCTCCGAGAACATCTCCATCTGCCGAAGAAGCCAGCGGCAATTGGGTATCTAAATAGGTTGATAAACGGGGTCCGTCAATGCTGACGAGTTCCCACAGAACCAATCGTCCGCGTATCACGCAACGTGTATACGTACCACGCAATGGATCGCACGCATACGTATCTTCTCAGACCTAACCACGAAGTGTTCGCAGTTCGTAATCGAACGTTCGAATGATTGATCTACCCTGGCGCCCTTCCACCATTGTGTGTCGGGACTTGTAATCGAAATGTAATAATTGCCGGTTTCCGTGTACGGATGTAATTTCGAATTTCGTACACAAATCCTTGGGATATTTGCAAAGTCTGTTTTGATCTTGAATTGTAAAAATTTCCAAGTTAACGCTTGATTTAAAAATTGGAGTGACTCGTGGAATCCATCGTCGGTAACTTTTCATAAAAATTGAATTATTCTACGAACCGTTTACATCCTGATTAAATATACTTTCCTATGTACAGAGGTGTATCACGATCCACACGCGTTTAGAAAGCGGTTTCCACGAGCAACTGACTCGCGATACGAAATTCTTTCTGAAGCAGCGATTGCACGCGTTAATTTCGGATCGTTGAACGGAGAGTGGAAGCCGTTAATAGACACGTGACAGCTGGGCAGAGAGATTCATCCTCTCGCAAGAAACGGGGAAGAAAGGTGCGTGATGGTTTTGCTGATGGAAACGCGATACCGAAAATAAAAATCCGTCATCGAGCGTAGGCGAGCCGAAGGCTTCCAAATCGAAAAGAAAAGCGGGCGCGTTGCTCGATTCCCACGAAATAATAGAAAATAAATATCTCGTCGATGATTAGTCTTCGTGTTGGTTGCGCGGTTCTTCGTGACACCCCTCTATGCCGCTTCGCGGTTCGTTGCACCTGGGAGGAAAAACGTGTACGGTTAAGGGAAGGCAACAGAAACCAACAGACATATTTGGTACTTCTACGTGAACATTCACTGTTTGCTTCAAAACACGCGAGCCTGGCTACGATTTTAGCATAATATACGAGGTTCTTGTTACTAGAGCGGATGTTTAAACGTTCTTTTCCCGAATGTTTTAACGGTCGATCATTCGTTAATCGTGTTTTTAACATAGGAGAAGGAAGTACATAATGATTCACACAGCCGTGTAAGATACGATTGGTGATTATTTACTGTGACTAACGAAGAAATTATTTCTGCTCCATCATATTTTTTAATACGCGGTCGAAGATTGAAAACACGTAGATGATGAACGATTGATTCGCGCGCGTGTCGAACGTGGAACTTTTCCAACGCGTTCTTCGGTACGTCTCGTGCGTCAATGTGAATGAGTGCGACCTGAGATTTGCTAAAAAATTAATCTAAGATCAAACTTTGCGCTTCTACAAGATGACGAACCATCGTCAACCACCGAAGAATCGCCCGAACCATCCAATTTCCAATAAATTGACCGTCAATCTTGATCGTCACGGAGGCAATCTTGCTAATTACAGCGAGGCAAAGCCATCAGACATTCTGTTTTTAAGTCGCAAAAGTAGGCAGTCGCTACCGTAACAGTGCGTTTTTTTCTTTTTTTTTTTTTTTTTCTTTAACGAGTGGCCCGAGTCGATGACGCGGTTGAAACCGAACGAAATTGAACAGCTGTAGAAGAAAAATTATCGCCTCCGCGTTTTCGCAGGGGCCGTACTGGAGGGAGCAGGTGCTGCAATTAAAAGGCTCACAGGCGTCATTTGTTTCCCTGACGATCTTGACGGCGCATCTTCTTGAGGAACTTTTATGGCCGTGGTTACCTGTCCAGAAGTCGAACAATGCGGCTAAAGAGGCCAGTCATTGTTCGAGCTCGAGCTCGAGCGTGCGCGCGCGCTCGTTATTATACATAATTCAGCTAGCTAGTTGAAGAGCCTCGTGTACCAGCCATGTTGCTGGTTGTCGGTTGTGGTGTAATGGCCTGATAATATCCGCGATATCGATAGCATCGTTTTCTTCTAAATTCCTTCGTAAGTTTATCCACCGTAATTTACGCGTTACCCGCGGAACAGATAGTTATTAAGATAGCGATCGGGAAAACACCTTCGTATGGTCCATTATTCTTATCTAGCCGGTGGGAAATGAAGCCGTGCGTTTGCCCCCTGTGATAAAGGGGCGAGGCATCGGGCAAAATCCTCCGGTTCCATTTGTAAAAACCGAGGGGGCAATAAAGTGTCTCGTCCGGTCTCGCGTTGCAGCACAATCGAGAGGACCCTTCGCCGCGAACAATGGACTCGGGGAAATTAAGAAACAATTCACTGTTTTCACGGAAGTGGCCGGGATTTTTACGAGCACGCTACGCGGTGTTATCGGATCGGATTTATTTCGGGAAAACACGTGGGGCATTACTGAGAATTTTCGAACGATCGTGCTCGAGTCTGTAGGACTGATGGCTGGATCTCTGTGACAGGATTAATTAATCAGCGCGGTAATGAAAAGTATAATGAAGCGAAATAGAGACGTAGCTTCTTTCGTTTCTTCATCTTGATGATGAAGATTAGCATATCTTCGCTGAATAATAATACATCAATTCACCGACATAAATGATAATGTGAAACTTCATAAAATTGATAGTCCGAGCAGCTAACCACTCTCTGAGAAACCAACTCGCATCTCGAAAGGCTCGTAAACGTATTGAAATGCGTAAAGTAAACCCAGAGT